CAGCAAAGACCCCCACCCGCTGGCCTTGCCCACCCCCAGCACGGAGCCCCCAGACCCTGGGGACCCCGCAGAGGCAGATGGAGCCTCCGGGGCTCCGCAGTCCTGGCACCAGGGCCCAGATACCCACTGCCTGTCCTCTTCTTGCGAGCTGTGCTCTTCGCCAGGGTCTCTCTAGGGCCCAGGGATGGCATTTGGGGACATGAGGCGGACAGCTCGGCCTTCCCTTCAACGGCGGAGAGTCACCCCAACCAGACCCTCTCCATCCCCCACCCGTGACTCAGGATAAGCGGCCCCGCCCCTCTGGCCAGCTGTTGGCAGCTGTCACCACCTGCCGGCCCAGGGCCAGATGCCCCACGGCTGTGGAGCGAGCGGGGGTGGGGCGTACAGCTGTCTGGGTGCTGGGTGTCTTGCCCCGCCTGCGCCCTTACCGGAGCTGCTGGACCTTTCATGGATCCCCCCACCCCATCCTGGGATCAAGTGTGTGTCGGCGCCCAGCCACCATGGGGCGGTGGGGGGACCTCTGGTCCTAACCTGAGTCTGCCCCATGCAGCCAGGCCGGCCCGCGCTCCCCGCACAGGGCTTGTCTGGGTGGCTGGCGGGGCCCTCAGAACCGCACTGCTCATGCTTCCGGCTCAGCTTCCCTGGGGTCTGGAAGGTGCGGGGGGGGGGGGGGGGGGGGGAATGTGGGTCAACGCAGCCTCTGGGGCTGGACGCCCGCGGCCCAGGAGACAGGAGGGAGCCAGCCCCCGAGCTCTGCACCCAGATCAAGGAAGGAGGGGCCGTGTGTATCTCAGCCCGAGACCCCCTGCCCCTTGCATTGGCCACCGGCCTGACCCAAGCACTCTGCCTTGTCACCCCAGACGAGTGCCAGAGACAAGACCCCTGGAAAGGAGCCAGCCTGCGCCCTGAGGAGGAGTGCGCTGAGAACCCCGACCCGGGGCCTGATTCTGCCCCGAGCTGGTGCAGGACGGGTGCTGGCAAAGCACCCTCCCCCCGGCTCCCCAGGCTGCCCAGGGTGCCAAGGCGGGGGCATGAGATGCCGGGCCTGGTCGTCAGTAGCCTTGGGGTGGATGGGCACACCCAGCTGGGGCCAGTGCAAGTCCTGTGTCAGCGGCTTCCACGCCTCAAGTCAGTGGTGCCAGGGGTGCGGGCCGCTGACTGGGGTGCCACTTGCCGCAGGGTCTGGGCTGGGCTGCTCGGCAGACACTGGGGGGTGGGCTCTTGAGCCCACCGGGCATGACCCCAGGTGACCCCAGGCAACACTGCCAGAAAAAGGCGTCGGAAGCTGCTGACCCAGGGCTCCATTGGGTGCCACCCCCTGGGGGGTCTCCACAGGAGAAGCCCCTTGGGAGGCAGATCCCACCTCCAGGGCCCTACATTCCCAGGTCTGGGGACCCTTGCAATCTCCCACCTGGGGTCACTGACACGTGCTGGCCTGAATGGGAGGTCAACCCTCCCTTCCACAGACGGCGGCAGTCCAGGGCTCAGGGTGACTGGGCCGGGGGAGCACCGGCTTGTGGAGGTCTCCGAGCCAAGGCAGGACCGGAGAGGGCTCAGCGGGGCAGCCCCTGGGTGGGGCTGGCAGGATGGGGGTTGAATCTGGGGAAGGAATGCACGGACCTCCAAAGGGCTCCCAGGAGAGGCCCTGGCCCTCAGCTCCCCTGACGCCCGGCCCATCTTGTGAGGGCCCTGAGCCCTGCCAGCCCTGGGCGGTTGAACAGGACGGGCACCGGGAACCGGGCGAGGTCAGCACGGGGCATGGAGGGAGCCCCCAGCTGCCGGGCCCGCCCCCTGCCCTGCCCAATCCCCGCCCCTCCCCGTGATCAGCAGACTCTGTCCCTGCCCACCAGATGCAGCAGGGACGTGCCAGGTGCTGGGGCCAGGCGTGGGGTGGAGGCTGCTTCCCAGCCCAGCCCGGGGGCCCGGCCCCCGCACAAACTTGACCCTGTGGGAGTCCCCTGTCTCCGTACCCCACCTTGCAGCAGCCCACCTCACAGGCCTGTGTGTCCCAGGGCAGTCCAGCCCACGCCCTGGGTCTGGGCAAGGTGCGCCGGGGGCGCTCACCTTTCGGACCCTCGGGTCCCAGCCCCTCCATGCCGCCTCAGGCCCCGCAGCTGGTCCAGGGCCCTGCAAGCCCCAAGCAGCGCCACCCGGGGGGCTGGGGCAGCCTGGCTGGCACCTGCAGGTCCTTAACCCCATGCCCCGAGTCCCAGGTTGAGCCTGTGCTGGTCCCGACCCCACGTCCTATGTTCCTGTCCCTTTTCCTGTGTCCTACATCCTGCATTCCTGTCCCAGGTCCCCTGGCCTGGCCCCCAGACAAGGCCCTGATCCCCTGCCCGGCCCTCCCAACCCCAGGTCCACGGGGCTGTGGTGGCCCCACGTCCCCTCATCTTCAGCTCCTGTCACATGGCCTGGTCCCTGGACATCAGCCTCGGCACCCCCCCCACCGGGACAGCTGCAGAAGACTCTCGGCCACCCCTTTGAAGCCAGGAGGGCTGGGCTGTGGGGCTTGGGGGTGGAGAGGGAGCGGTCACACCCGAGGGTGTCAGAGCCTGGGCCGCCCTTTCAGGCTCACCAGGCTTCAAGGGGACCAGCTTAACACAGCCCAGATCAGAGGGAAGATGCTGGCCTGGCCCTGGGGCTCCTCCCTCCTGGCACCCACCCACCCAGCACCCACCACCCCCACCACCCACCACCCACCACCCAGTACCCACCACTACCCAGCACCCACCACCCAGGACCCCCACCACCCAGCACCCACCCACCCAGCACCCAGCACCCACCTCACCCAGCACCCACCCACCCAGCACCCAGCACCCCCACCACCCAGCACCCCCACCATGGACATCAGGAGTTTTGGCCCAAATGGCTCTCAGAAGCCCCAACAGCACGAGCCATTAGTGGCTGTGAAATCAGATCAAGACATTGACTCCAGCCCGGCCTGGGAGTCCCTCTGAGACACAGCTGGATCCCCCTCCGCTCCCTTGAGACTGGGGGCCCCCACTCCCACCCCACAGGGAACCCCACAGAGCTGGGCATGGGAGGCATTTCTGTTCCTGTTGGGGGTCCTGGTAGCGTCACGGGTGGCGGTGCACTGGTCTTTCTGCCTGTGACCAAGGGCACATTAGGGCCTGGCCTTGGTGTTTGTGGAGGGGCAACTGTGGCAAGAGAAGCCAGGGCGCGGTGCCTCAGAACCCAGGAGGTGAAGCCCTGCCGCGGTGCCCCTCCTCGTGCCACTCTGGGCTCCCCCGCTCTGAAGCCCAAAGACTCTTCTCTCAGCCTGGTCTGCCACCTGGCCCCGCCTGCCGCCTGGCCCCGCCCACTCGCGCTCCCATTGGCTCCGCCCCGGCACAATCTGGGAGCCCCCAAGCGGGGCGGGGCGCCAGGGAGAGGGAAGGAAGAGGGGGTGTTGGGCAGAGGGAGTGGGGCCGGTCAGTTGGAGGCCCAATGAGTAGACATCTGTCCTGGTGGGCTTCGTGGTGGCCAGGCAGCCCCAAGAGGATGGGTCTGTCTGGTCGCCCAGACCCCCCGCCCAGCCAGGCGCCCTAACACGTCCACAGAACGACCAGCCCATCAGCAGCCCTCTCTCCTGAAAGGGCACTGGGGGATGGGCCCGGAGCCACTGGTCATTGGCCCCCAGGCTTCCCTGGGGCAGATGGTGAGGGTGGTCCCCACGTGAGCCCAGGTGGACAGCACTGTCCCTCAGGCCAACAAGGGCACAGGGCTGGGAGTGGCAGAGTCTCCTTTGAGGTTCTGGGGAACTGTACCCTCAGGGGTGCTGGGCAGGGGGCAGCTCATCCCCTGTGACCCAAAGATGGCCCACAGCCTGAGGTCTCCCCACTGCCCAGCGTCTGCCCTCTCCCCACCCTTCCCCGCTCAGACTAAAACCCAACCAGGCGTCGGATGCAGCCTGTCCCGTCTGGGGAACATCTGTTCGGTCACCAGCTACGGGCTGCCTGCAGCCCACACTACTCCCCTGGCCACTGCAGCCCGGCTCCCCACAGCCAGCCAGGCCCTAGGCCTCCCGCGGTGTCCACTATAGGTGGTCTCCATCACCAGGCCAGAGCTTGGTCACTGCCCACGGAGTCAGGACCACCCCAGTGGGGCTTACCTCAGAGCTAGCCCCTGCCTCCTAAGAGACAGGAGTGGGGTCCACCCTGGGAAGCCAAAGAATGGGGGGAGATTGAGAAGGACAGGGGATCCCACCCTGCACTGCATGGGGGTCTCAGTGGAGGAAGGGCAAGGGGACTGGGGACTGAGCCCTGGGAGACGAGAGCAGAGGGAGGTGACCCAGCCCGGAGCTGGGGAGGAGGCGGAGGCGGACAGCAGCTCACTGCCAAGGCACGGAGGAGGGGAGACTCGGCCCCAGCCGTGGGCCTGGCACTGCCTGGGCAGGATGGTGGGCATCCCGACTGGCAGGTCAGGCAGAGCCTGGGCTTGTCTCCTGAAGCACTGAGAACCAGCGGCTCAGCCTCGCCCCTCCTGCCGATCTTTGGACATGCTGCGCTGGGGGCTTTGCTAAAATCACACCAGCTCTTAGTGCCTTTCTTAAGATGCTGCAGAACCTCTGGGCCAGGGGCAACCCAACCCCTGCCTGCTGGTTGGGTGAGGAGAGCGAGGCCACGGTTGCACACCCAAGGTGGATGGTGCCCTGCAGGCAACTGGCCCCAGCCCACCTCCCCACCAAGGCCACGCAGGGAACCCCAGAATGTGGGACGGGAGAAACACGGGCCCTGCACTGAGGGCTGGGGGACCACACCAGTACAGAGAGGGGGGCCCCCCGGGCCAGATGTGTAGGACTCTGGCTGGCCAAGGAGGCGCGTGCAGGTTGAGTGGGGAAGAGTCCTCCGGCTCAGAGCGCTGATGGCGGGCCCTGGGGACCCTCAGGCCTCGGCCCCCGAGCCTAAGGCCTGGTGATGGGGTTCCTGAGAGCGCCCCCATCCGTCCTGTGAACAGGCACACGCGCACGCACAGATGCAGACACGGGAAGAAACACCAGCTTAGAGGAAAGGATGCACATTTTCTTGTTTAACAAAATAAATTAAATATGAGGAGCTTCAGCTCAAGCTCTGTATAAAATTATAGGGGCCTGGGGCCGCCACGGGCGGGAGTGGGTGCCCGGCCCGAGGTGGGCATCCAGTGTGGCCAAAAGGCCAGGTGGGTCCTGGGCCTCAGGAGAGGCCCAGTCTCTGTGGCCCAGCCCTCCTTTCATCATTATTAATATTATTATCTTAATTTCTTAAATATAAATATCAAGGGCCCCTTCTCTCTGGCAGTGGGACGGGAGGCACCCCCAGCCAGCTCCGGCCTCTCAGGACGGAGCCTGGGCTGCTCCGCCCGACCCCCCTGCCCAGGGCACTGGTGGGCTCCTGGACACCCAGGACAGGTGGTGGCAAAAATAGCCTGGGCAGGGACACAGGCGGGCAGGCGCAGGGAAGGGGTCGGAGTTTTTGGTTTGCAAAGCCAGGGTGCCTCTCAGATCTCCTGCCAGGCCGGGGTGGGGGGGTGACCACGGCCCCCATGAAATCCTTATCACGGGGCCAAGGGATTCCTTCATGAGCTAGCCCATCGCTACATGCGCACTGCAGAGTTACAATACAGACCTTCCCAAAGGCTTTAGTCTGAGTGTGTGTGTGTGTGTGTGTGTGATTCTGTGTGTGTGTCCAGAGGTATGTCATGCGTGTGTGTGCGTCCAGGTGTGTGTGTGTCTCACGTGGGGCGCCTCGCACCCGCAGTCCATCCTCCTCTGTGGCCCTCGCCCCGGGCCTCCGCAAGCCCACCCCGAGGCACCCTAGCACTGGTAGTGGATGTGTTGATGCTGGTGGACTTTGCCCTCCACGTGCGAATGCGTGTGTGAGTGCGTGTGCGTGTGCGTGTCCGTGTAGAGTTTGGGGTAAAGCTTGGGGCCGGCGGCTGAGCCCGGGCCCAGCAGGTGCTGGGGGGCCGCCGGGGGCCCGAGTTCCTCACACAGCCCCACACCGGGGCCGGCACCGAGGGTGGGGGGTGCCGGCAGGTCCTTGTCCCCGCCGCGGTCGCGGGCCGTCGCGGGCGGGCGATGTGCAGGCACCGGAGGGGCAGGCGCGGGGGTGCATGGCTTCTTCTTGGCCTGGCAGAGCCACAGGAGCACGGTGCCCAGGATGAACACGGCGCCGGCTGGGATGCCGATGACCACTGGCCACGGCAGGCTGGTGGTCGAGGACGAGGGGGCCACGGGCGGCCCTGGCGGCTTGGGGTCTGCAGGAGAAACCGAGGAGGGGGCGGGGAGGGGAGCGTCACGTGTGGGCGTGGCCCGGGTGGGGCGGGGCGGGGCAGGGCGGGGCCCACGCACCGGGCAGCACGGTCAGGAAGGCGCTGCGAAAGCTGTAGCCCATGGTGTTGGCGCCCAGGCAGATGTACATGCCCGCGTCGTCCTGGCGCGCGCGTGTGATGAGCAGCTTGTTGAGGTAGGAGCCGTCGGGCCGCGACCACACGTCACCCGTGGGCAGCACCACGAACTTCTGGCCGCCCACGTCGATGGTGGAGTTGTAGCGGCCCTCGGCGCCATACTCCACGCGCTTCAGCCACTGGATCACGGGCTTCACGTCGCTGCGCACTTTGCACTGGAAGGATGTCGTGCCTCCGAAGTCCACCGTCGTGTTCACGGGGTGCGTGCCCGTGAGGACAGGCTTGGAGCGCGTCCGCTCTGCGCAGGGACATGCGTTGGGCACAGCCCCCAGGCACCAGCCCACCCCCACCCCCGGCCCCGGCACTCACGGATCACGTCCACCTTGTAGGTGGCGTTGATGGCGCCCGCGCGGTTCGACACGCGGCACGTGTACTTGCCGCTGTCCTCGGGGCGCAGGTTCTTCAGGCTCAGGGTCCACTTCTTCTTCCTGTGCTCACCAGCCTCCGGGCGCGTCAAGGCCTGGTCATCCTTCATCCACATGATGTCGGGCCGTGGGTGCCCACTGGCCACGCACTTGAGCCGCACGGAGCTGCCCACGGGCCGCGCAATCACCCGGCGCCTCATCTTGGAGGGCTGCGTGAAGCGGGGCCGGGCTGCGCGGGGTGCAGGGGAGTGGGCGGGGCATAGAAGTCAGCGGGCACTGGGGTGGAGGCACAGCCCCACCCCCCGACCAAGATGGTGACGTCTGTCCCTGTGCTCACCCCATTGCTTGCTGGCTGGGTCTTCCTGGCCCCCGGAAGGGCCGTCGTGCCCCGGACTCTCCCTTCCTGGACTGGTGTCGTCTGCAGAGGGGAGGGTGCATGAGAGGGGCCTCGGCAGCCCCTGTAAGACCCCAGGACTGGCTCCCGGGCCCCAGCCTCAGGCCCAGCTGGGAAAGCTCTAGAAACGCCAACAGGAGGCCATGGGTGCACACCCACGTCTCAGAATCCCAGAGACAGCTGGGCCGGAGCCGCCCACCCGGCGCACTCCCTGGGTGCAGGTGACCCCGACAGGCGCGGGTGGAACGGAGATCTGGCTCCCCCACCCTGGCTCCGGGGGGTCTGCAGGGCCGGGGGGAGGTGGCGACCAGGCCCAGCCGGCAGCTGCAGTAACCCTAGCCCACATCAAGGGGCCGAGGGCTTGGTGAGCTGACATGGCTCGCATACCGCCTCGTCGTCCTGCCCTTTTGAAAGGACGCTGGGGGGGACACCCACAGTATTCCCATTCCACAGCCCAGAGAAGGCCTGTGGGGCCTGAGGGGGGCGCGGCGTGCTGAGGAATGCCCCCCCCTCCCAGTGACAGCCGCAGCCTCCACGGCCCAGGACCAAGGCCAGGCGCTCGGACCCCACCCCGGAACCCAGTGGAGGGGTGCGTGGGTCAGGCTCCTCCTTTGTGCTGCCAGGGAGCCTGCCCTGAGGGACCCGCCCGGGAGCCCATGGGGGAGGGCCAGGCGCCAGCGCCTGGTACCAGCGAGTGGAGGGCGTGTTCCTGGGGGCGCCGCCCAGTCCCCAAGCCCGGGCCCCAGAGGCAGAGAAGAACAGAAGGCCCTTCCTGCCCAGCGGCCCCTCTGAACTCCGAAACCTGAGCCTCAAAGTCATGGCTGACGCCAAGGCTGCCGGCCCGCCTGCCCCACCAGGCTGCCCTTCAGTGGGACCGCCACCTGGGGCCCCCATACCCACCCCTGCCGCCACCCCAGCCAGCCCTGGCCCCCAGGTCAGCAGAACTTTGGGGGAGAAGGGGTCGGAAGAGGGACCCCAAGGTGAGGCCTGAGGGGGCGGGGCCCGGCCTGGGGGTGGTGTCCTGGGCTCAGAGGCCGGGAGGGGCGCAGGGCGGCTCTGGTCCCGGGGGCAGTGGGCCGAGCTCATGCAGGGTGAGGGGTGGGCACACAGGGAGGGTCTGCCTCCCCGCCCGAGCTGACTAGGCGCGAACAGCAAGGCCCCGCCCTGGCACGGCCAGCACTGACCCATCACGATGAGGGTGTAGTTGACGCTGAGGCTGCCGAAACCGTTGGTGGCCTTGCACACGTAGGCGCCGGCGTCCTCCCGTTCCACCTCCTTCACCTTCAGCCCCTGGGGCAGCACGCGGAAGCGGCTCCAGCCGCCGTGGATTGTCCGGCCGTCCTTGGTCCACATGGTCAGTGGCGGCGGGTCCCCCTCCACGGGGCACTGCAGCCGCACAGTGCGGCCCAGCCGGGCCACCTGCCGCGGGACTACCTTGTCCGCCATCCTCGGGGGGCCTGTGGGGGTCAGAGGGCTCGCTCAGGGAGGAGGGGACCGGCAGGTGGTCGGTCAGGGCCAAGGCAGGCGTGGGCACTGGGAGCCGGCCGAGGGCTGTCCCTGCGGGGCCCCCACCCCGGGACTCCACCCAGATACGCCTACCCAGCTCCCAGACCACAAGAGGCGGCGTTCACCCAGGGCCCACTGCGCTCCCGCATGGGAGCCGGGATGCGGCTCGCCCAGGACGCATGTCCACAGGCGAGCGAGGGCGGCCCCCACCGCCTCCCTGCAGGCACCCCGTCTGTTTGTGTGTGCACGTGCGAGCATCCCTGCGTCTGGTGGCCCATGTCTGTGCCGTGTGTGCATGGGCGGCATCAAACCAGGTCTGCCTGCCTGGACAAGAGCCTCCCTGCTGCCAGCCAGGCCACACCAGGTCACCAAGGCCCTGGAGTCAGAGGGCAAGCAGCTGGGCCTCCCAGCCCTGGGTGACCACTATCAGCCCTGGGAGAAGCCTGAGTCCCGGGCTGAGGCCGTGGCGCCCTTCACCAGCGGGAAGAAACCCATCCCCGTCCCCACCGGCCCGGGGCCACCCAGGGACAATGGGGATGACCAGGCCTAGAGGGCGCGAGAGACGGGCCAGCTGGGAAGGACGCTGCGGACATCAGAAGGCTATGGAGCTATCTCCTGGTAGACCCTCAGTCCCCTCCCGCCGTGCCCCCGTGCCTGACGCCCTGAGCTGGGGCTGGTGTGCAGCCCCTACACCACGGGAGGACCGCGAGGGTGGAGGGCTCTTACATGGTCACCCACGGCCCCCCCGGACCAGGAGAGGCAGCCACGGGCACCCAGCTGCCCTTCCCAGGGGCTTGGCTGGGCCTGGCTCCCAGGACTCCGCCCACCAGCCACTGGAAGGGGCACCCACCCCACACGGCAGCCACTCCAGGCCGGGAAGGCCACGCCCCGAGCCCTGGCCACACGGAGGTGCAGGGGGACGGCTGCGCTGAGACGCTGTCGCTCCAGGGCCTGAGAGCGGCATGTGTTTTTAATAACCAGCTGGTGTTTCTTCAACGTGCAATCGCCGCTGATTCTGTTGCCGCCTCGCAGCCAAAGTGCTCCTGCGGGTCCCCCAGAGGCTGTAGCTCCCAGGGGCTCACAGAGCACGGGCCCCCATCGCCTCCACCTGGGGTGCGGATGGAGGGTAGGGGGCCGTCCCCGTTTGGATGCAGGGAGCTGACAGCCCAGGGCTCAGCTTCTCTGGGGCCCCAGGTGGGGAGGGGGTCCCGAGTCTCTGATTCCAGGGGACTGGGGTGTGAGGGACACAGAGACACTAGGCACCTTCCCTCTACAGCCTCCCCCCTCCACATCCTGCCCCATTCAGGTGGCCCCACCCCCTCCATGCTGCCCCTGGACAGTGGGCCATGCCAGAGGTGCCAGCCAGCCAGCCCTCTGGCTTCCCCCGATACCCGCCTCTCCCTAATCACTCACCTGTCTCCAGGGCCCCCCAGGCACCTACCCAGCTCACAGTGGGAGAGGCTTCAGGGCCCCCAGACAAGTGGACCTTCTGAGGCCCCCCAGGCCGCCCAGGGTCCGGGCCTCATTCCCAGGCGGACCCTGTCCACCACCTGCCACTGCCTGAAATTCCACCATTCACAGGGGCCTCCCAGGCTGCAGGACAAAAGGGCACCCCCCAGCCCTTCCCGGGCTGACACCTGGGTGCAAGCATCACACACACACAAGCACAGGCACACGGACCCACACGTGTCCACACAGACACACGCAATGGCCCGGAAAGCACGTGGGGAGGACGGTGCCCGCACGAGGAACAGCATCGCTCCCTGCTGGGGCTCCGCCTCTCCCAGCGGCATCGTGGGGGCACCGCTGGCGGCTGGTTCAACACCCCCGACCCCCGAAGGAGCCCGCCTCAGTGGCAGAGGACGCGCCCGCCTGACATTGCGGCCCCTCCCTCTCCCACCCGCCAGAGGAGACCTTGTTGGGGGGCACCTACTGGGTGGCAGGGACGCCACCCTCGGTCCTGCGGAGTGGAGGGACAGGGCCAAGTGACCGCCAGATGGGCCGGAAGTGTGGCCCCGTGGGCCGGCCTGTGAGCAGTGAGGGGGACGAGGCAGCGCCCGCCCAGAGGCCCCGGCTGGAGCCAGCCTTGTCCTAAAGCAAACAGCCCCCCTCCCCTCTGTGGCCAGCCTCACCCCTCCCCACCCCCACCTGGGCTCCGGGGGACCCAGACACGAGGCCGGGGCCCTGCCCCCCCCACCCCAGCCTCTGCAAGAGACCCCCCAGCAGGCTCACCAGCGGGAGGCCTGGCCCCCCAGATTCCTGGGAATTTTGGCCGCCAGCACGGCTGCTGCAGCTCTATATTTAGCCTGGGAAACAGAAGCCCTGCTGTTCCACCTGGACAAGGCCTCCCACCCCTCAGCCACGGGGAAACTGAGGCCTGAGCTGGAGACCCGCAGGCCCCTGAAGGGCGTGTGGGTGGGGGCAGCCGACGCAGCCTTAGCGCCTTCCCCGTGAGCACCTCCTCCAGGAAGCCCCAACCCTGCACCCACCGGCAGTCACGGCCCTAGGAGGCTGCGGGCACAGGCAGGATGCACACGACGCAGGCAGGGCAGACACGGGGCAAAGGCAGGCTGGGGCCGGGTCTCACCCCAAGAGGGGGGCTGAACGTCAAGGTAACGGGCAGGGAAGGTGTCGCCCCTTCCTCTCCTCCATCCTCCTCCACCCTCAGCTGTGAAAACATGGTCAGGAATGGGGGAACTGGGAGGGATGGGGGGCAGCCGCTCCGAGGGCCCCACAAACCCAGCTTGGATTCCCAGCCGCCATCCAGAGCTGCTGTCACACACAGACCCTGTCACACCGACCCCCAGATGCACACCCCAACAGTGGGTGCAGACTCCCTGCCACACACACCCCACCTCTGAGCGCCCCGGACGCCCAGGCCCACAGCCCCTCCCCCTGCCTGGCCAGAAGCACCGCTTTCCCCGTTTAGTATAACAAGACCCGGCTGCAACCCCAGCTGATACCCCTCCTGCCCCGGGGCCCAGGGAGGCAAAGGTGCTGGCAGGAACAGAGAAGGGACCCCCAGCTGTGGCCCACCCCATGCCCACCCCCCCGTACCCCCAAGCCGTCTTCACAGGCCCTCGGGGCCGCCCCGAAGCTCAGCACCCCACACCTCACCGCCCCGCGGCCTCCGCGCAGCCTGGCGCACCTTCCCGACACCCCCTCCTCCCTCCCCGCCCCCAGGGGCACGGTGGTCTGCCCTGGCCACTCCATCTGGACCCACGCTGCCGCTCTGTTCACGCCGTGGCAGGGGTGAGAGGGTTCCCAAGTATCGGGCTGCACCCCTCCCCACCGCCCGGGGCGTTCTGTGGGCCCTGGCTTGCTGACCCCAAGCTCCCTTCAACAGGGGCCGGGCCAGACGTCGCCCCTCTTCCAGGGCCCATGTGTCAGAGACCAGCAGGGGCCACAGAGGCACCGGTGTCTCAGCCGTCACCCCGTGAAGCCGCAAACACAGCTGAGGTCGAGGGTGCGTGAAGCACCGGCCGCCTCGTCAGGGCAGCTCTGTCCCCCACAAGCCCTGCAAAGCCCCAGAAATTTCCAGCCTGGAAGGAATTCTCTGGCAGGCGGCGGGGGAGGTGGGGGGAGCATCGGGCTAACCAGCATGGGCCTGGCCATGGGGTGAGGGCGGCCAGCCAGGAGCCACCGTCCTGCTGTGCAGGACAAGCTAAGTGAGAGGCGTGGGGAAGGGCGCTGGGCCCTGGCCGGGGGGCCGGAAGCAGGCAGGTCCACCCGGCCTGCCTGGGTACCTGACGCCAGACAGGGCAGGTAGGCACTCTCTGGGGGGAGCGGGCACCCAAGGTGTCCCTCACAGTGGGGACCGGGTGCAGCAGGGTGAGCTGGGAAGGCCGCAGGGCCAGCACCCTCCCCAAGAAGGCGAGGCCTGGGGGGAAAGGACAGGAACACCCCACGGCGGGGGCACAGGTGAGGCCCACCCCAGGGCTGCCACGAGGGGGGCAGGCTCGGCACACATGCACACCCACACTCGCATACAGGCTCCCGGTCAACAGCCGGCCCAGGGCGGCCCCGGGGGCTGGACCCACGGGATCTGTGGTGGAACTGGTAGGACCCGCAGGACAGGTGGTTGCCCCAGAAACCAGGCCATTCTGGGCGTGGCAAAGGGACGGCCTGACCCACCGAGCAAGCCGCCGGGAGCGTCCCCTCCACCGGCTGCCCAGCCGCGCACCAGGGGGTGGGAAGACCGGGGGTCTCCAGGTCTGTCCTCTTCTCTGGAGGCCCCCAGATGGACCTCCAGTGGCCCCCCCCAGCTTCAGGGCTCCTCTGCCTAACCCTCACCACCCCCAGGACCGACAAGTGAGGCCCAGAGCATCATCCTGACAGGGCCACTTCCCTCGGGGGGGACCCATGTGAGCTGCCTACGGGACAGTGACCAGAAAGCACCCAGACCCACCGCCCGGGCCTCCCCAAGGGACTCAGCTGGACACCGGGCAGCCCCGTCGGGTGTCCAGATCTCACTAGGCCCACCAGACTCAACGCTGTCTCACCCCGACCCTGCCCACCCCGCCATCCACCCCCACCTCACCAACGTCACTTGACCCAGACCCTCTCTCAGCTGCCAAAGGACCGAGAAGGGCCTTGTCCAGTGAGGCCTCCCACACCTGCCGGCACCGGACCCAGAGCACAGGGTAACGTGCCGCGGGGCCCAGACCACCCCAGGGGCCCCGCCCCAGGGGGCCCCGATCCAGGTACCAGAGTCACCTCGGAGGGGAGACGAGGACATTTTCCTGAGCCTGGAGCCCCTGGGCGTTTAAGCAGAACCTCGAGGGTGAGGGCGATGGCTATGGCAGCAGAAGATCCAACGCACCCAGCAGCCTGGCCTGCGCGACCCCAGGCCAGAGTCCCTGCCTCCCACCCATACCTGCTCCACGACAGCCCACGCCCACGGCGGGCTTCTTGAGGCGAGGACTGAGGCCATGGGGCCTGAGCAGGCCAGCCCAGACTAGGCGCCCCCAGGCCCCCAGAGGCCATGGGGCAGGCCACCTGGCCCTCAAGGCGCACACGCTGTCGGGCTGAGCTCCAGAGTCAGCCCCAGTCCCCGCCGGAACCCGGACAGGCTGCTGCACGAGTGCAGAGGGCAGCCCCAAAGCCACTGGCAGTGGCCCTGGACCAGGAGAGCGCGCTCCGCAGGCCCCGGCTCCTCCAGGGTTCAGGATCATGGGAGCCAGAGAGGGTCCCTCCGCCCCGCCTGCTGCCCCAGGTCCCGTTATTCACTCCTCAGCCACTCAACAGCGCACAGCTTGTGTAAATCTCTCATGAAATAAACTCCCCGGCAGGAAGAAAAGCAATTGTGTTTCCTGCCAAGATGGGAAACCCTGGATTTCAGCAGCCCTTAGGCTGGAGCAACTCCTGCAGTGCTTCAGGGACAGCTCCTAGAAACCCCACCCTGGGCCAGTTCTCCTCAAGGGGGCCAGTCTGCGCTGGATGGGGGGGTAGGCACCTACCCCACCCCCTGCCTGCCTCCAGGCCCCGCCCCCAGCCACTCAGTTGGGGCACAGGGTGTGGATGGAGGCCTCGGGACTCCTCGCTGGAGCCAGGAAGGCTGGCCACAATGTCCTGGTGGAAAAGGCCCCAGGACACCCCCTCAGCTGACCAGCCTCTCAGCCCAGCCCTTCCCCACTCAAGGCCCCTACCCCACTACACCAAGGCGCCCGTGTCCACCGGATGTCCACTCTGGCCCCGGTGAGCTGCTCACCTCTGCCCACAACATCCCCCCAGCTGGAGGCCTGTCCTTGCCTACCCTGACCAGCACCCATCTCTCCTTCCAGGCCCCGGGGTGACGCCCACGCCTCTGCGTTCAACCTCCCTCCAGTGGACCCCGGGCTGCGACCCCACCTGAGGTAGCCCAGGTGGCCCCTGCTCTCCTGGGCCCCGAGAGAAGCGAGGCTGGGACTGACCAGGAGCGCCTGGTGGCCACCACTAGGAAGAGCGGGTGATGGGCAAGGTAGGTGGGGCCACACTGGCTGCAGCGTCGCTGAGGTCTGGGGACGGTGGCATGGGCACGGGCACGCCTTCCTTGCACATGCTGCCCTGCTGACAGAGGCTGTCACCTGGACGCACCAGGGCTGCAGTCACCAGGCGAGGCACAGCATGGGGCAAAGGAGGCCAACGTGGATGGCCACACAGCGGGGAGGCGGCCACAGCCCATCTCCCCCGGCACGTCAGTGAGCCCGAGCCGCCCAGGTGATCGGAGGCTGAGGCTGCTGCTGGGGAAAACCAACATGTACCACGTTAGGGCCGCGGAGCCGGGCGGGAGCCGGGGGCCCACTGATCCCCCCACAATGGAGACAGAGGCTGCGGGCAGCCCAGGCTCAGCCTGGCCCAGCCAAAGGCCACTTTGTTCGGCTCCCTCCTCCCCCCCAGAGGAGACAGTGATTTATTTTCCCTTCCAGGAGTGGGGCCCAAGACAAGACGTAAATGGGGCCGCTGGCCCACATCCCCAGCTCGCAGAGCCTGGGCCGGGCTCCCACAAGTCCACCTCAGCCCTGGCCGCGCACTGGCCAGCACGGCCTGCAGGGACCTAGAGGGGAGGAGACGGCCCCCTACAGCCTGGCCAGAGGCCGAGGTCAGACAACGCACATGCACACGCCACAGCCGCCCTGACGGCCACATGCTTCGCCAACGACTCACACACCCCATCAGACCCTTCGCACCACAGCCCCAAGGCAGGGCAGCCCCAAGTCCTCTCCATCCCACGGGAGGTAGGGCACCCGGGCACGCCGGCCAGGTCCAGGGGACAAGGAGGGGCCTCCAGGGCTGCCTGCTCAGAGACCGTCCACTGCACCACCATCCTCAGAGAAGTTCACACGTGGCACTTCTCAGAAAACCCTGAAATGACTTCTTCCAAAGTAATTTGTAAAAGGTATTTCATTCGGAACCTCTCAGAGCTCCCACTGTGAGAAATAAAATGGAAATGGAGAAAGCCAACTTCTTTTTTCAAATTTGAAAAAAGAAAAAAAACAAACAGTTTAAGACAAACCCACCAAGATTGTGAAACTTTGGGAAAAGGGGAACTTTAAAAATATGATTGGAGTCTAGAAATGTACCGATTCCAGAAATTGTGACACCACGGGGAAAACGGCTTTCAAAAAACCACCCAAACTCTCTCTGCGCTGGTTTGTCAGCCTAAAGAAGGTCC